ACATATGATTTCTCGAACTAAGAGATTTTAGTGACGGAGTTGCGTGAGGGCCGTGAGGAGGGGGGTGCTGTCAGTGTTGGTATAATAAGTTTAAAGTAAAGACGTGGTGTGGGATCACCTAGCCTAGAGCCAAGTGTTTAAAATATCGATTCAATTTAAAACTTAAATCGTTTTTTAATTTAGCTATTTTCTGTTATATCACCAACGTTTTTAATATAAAACAAACCTCTTTAATCAAAGGGGACTCTAAATTAAGAAATCAACATTTTTTTTTTTCCATTTTTGTTGTGTATACATTTCGCTTTATACTTTCAGTACATAGACAAACAACAATATTAGGTTATACTTCTGTTGCTAAGCAACATGACATAAAAACCATTCTTGGAACGTTGTGTTACCAAAACGCACTGGCTTTTCTATATATTAGAAGTTGTTAATTTAACTGATTTTTACCAATAATTATGAAATGAATACGCCACGAATTCATTTCATGAATTATTTTAATTTTGATTGGCTCACAAAGGAATTTACCGACGTTAACTGCCTCGACTGCACTTTTCTGCCGCTTTGTTGGTCAAGCTTGGTTTCGCAAATTTATTTATTTCGGTTAGCTATGAAATGTGAGGTTAGGATATACTATAGGGTGGGGGTGGTAGTACTTATCCCGTCAGTTTTGACGGGCTAAACGCTAGTTGATATCATATCACTTAGTCCTGTGTTCGTATTTTCAGGACATACATAAACAAAGAAGCTTCTTCCGTGCATTATATTACCCGAAACTGTAACATTGTGAATTTATTGTAATTAAATATGACAATAATCAGAGCTTAAGGAAAGTTACGACTGAGTTTCGCCCAACCTGAAACATAAACAACTCCAACTCTATCGACCTATCTAAATTTAAGATACTTTTATAAATATTAAACATTAAATATGTAGAAATGTAAGCTATGTATAATATCAAACATTAAATTGTTGACCCAAATTATGATTCTAGTAACTAATAAAAATAAAAACCAATCTTTCTTTGTTATATAATACCAAAAATTAAAACATTTTGTTGCATACAACCTACAATGTGCCACTATCCTCACTTTAGTTTTAACACGTTTCATCAAATGATTTTTCAAACAGAAATAACAATAAATTAGCATAATGCGTTATATTTATTAAATCAAAAACTGAGAATCATGAATGAGTATAACAATGTACTAGACGAAAGGAAAAAGTTTAAATAAAAGTTCTAGAACGTTTCTTATGAAAGAGAAGCTTCCAGAGGTGAAAAACCACGATCAATATATATAAAAGCCAAGTGTCTGTCGGTCAGTTTATCGGTCGCGCTCGATTTCTCTGGATTTCGTGAATAAGAGGAGTCCAATTCCACTTTTTCTCCTATAATACTTCCCCTTTTGATTGCCCATACATATCTTAGTTGAATTTAATTGCTAACGTAGGCGTAAATAGCTCCTAAATTTCGGCACTTTTTCTGCTGTGCAAAAGCTTGTCAAGGAGGGAGTTTTCAGAACCAAATCAGGCATAGCGTTATGTGTGTGACACCACATCATCCACGTCATTATGACATTAAGCTAGGTAAGATCCGAATAGGAAATCCGGGAAGATTTCCGTGATCGAAGACACGGAAGTGCATTCGCACCCTAACAACACCTGTGAAAAATAAGTCAAAAATTAGCGCAAATCTTTACCTTGGAATTATTACATAAAAGTCTTTGTTAAAACAGACTGATGATACCAATTATCTGTAGGGAAGAAGACGACTTTTCCTCAAAAGAACAGATGTATATGCAATCACATGGTCATCGCATGTTTTAATATTTTATCCAAAGGCACCAACATGTAGCATTCTTGCTCAGTTATATGTATTGTGAATTCAGGAGGAATACATAGCACGATCCTGGGAAAGGAAAATTTATATATATTTTTTTTATTTCTTTTGCACATTGCCAGTTTTATATGGAATAGTTTGTTTTCCAGCAGCTTCCCGTCATTTTTGACGGGTTTTTACGCCAGTAAACTATATATAACCTGTACAATTTTATTGGCGATGAAAATATGAACTTACATCACTTTTGGTTTTGAAACAGTACGGATGCTCTCGTAAAGTAGATGTAAACCTATCTTTCAATGTTCAACATTTTACTTGCATCATATTCAGAACTGATTACATATAGTTTCTTCAGTTAATGTTGTAAGGATGCATTAACTTGTATGCTCAAAATTCATACCCTAATGTTTTATTGGTGTTTTTTTCATGAAGTGTGTACTTATTTTAAAAGATATTTACATTTCCTATGACTTGATTTGTTTTATGTAATAAATTGAGTGCTTTTAGCTCTTAATAAAACTGGAAGAAACATATATTCTACTCTGTTTTTCAACACGACACACCAAACCACGTCATAAAAATTATTCACTTACACTGTTTATTTATCCTTCCTGTTCTTCCAAGAGCGTATGCACTATATTGATGTCAGTTTTAGATGACAGTGCACCGCATGATGCCAGATTCTTCAGTTTACTACCAGTTACAATGATAAAATATTCATTCGGAAAAAATCCATTAGTTTTATTCAAATATGCATGAATGAGTTATCTATCCTTGAAATTTGAACATCAAAAATTTTTTAGGAAAATATTTTCTGAAAAATCAAACAGTGACTAAATCAAAATATGTAGATTTCATTTACAATATGACATTGAACTATTAATAATTGTTTTATGATACTGCAAATGTGTG